AATCGTTATCAAAATTTGTTTTGGAATTGTTCCACAAATACTGTGTGACAAGCAAATAAAAAATAAAATTGTTTTAAATTCAGTCTTTGTCATCAACTGACATTACTCATAGAACTGTATGAAAACAAAAAGTACTGGGACGGACATTTCGTCATAGATAAGGAATCATAAGAGAGACACACCCATGGCCCCACAGATGTAATAAACACAGACCATTTGAATCTCTAAATAGACTTGATACTGTTTAGCTACTAAGCAACATTTCTTTGGTTTACATTTTTGAGTTTCAGGAAATTTGACACTCATTTATGCATTTCGTAAGCACGTTATTATGTTATTATGAATCGCTGTTGTAAGTCTATACATGGGCTACTCTCTAGGATACTTCACTGAACATATGAAACTAACGAATATTAATCACCATGAAAACAGTTCAGTGAAAATCGACCTCGTTGGCTCAAGAGTGTAGATACACATACTCTTACGCTTCACATATATATGGTAGATCTATTTCTTGTTTGTTAAACGGTCGGACTTTAAGTGTCCACACTTGCCTCGATTTAGTTCACATGAAGTTAAAACTGAAATTAATAAGTAAAATAATAGGGAAAGCCGCCTTAATAACAGTCGGTAGCCAAACTATTTCTATAAAATCAAATATACTGAATATCATATCAAAATATTAAATGAAACTAAAATGTTTTCCTTTCATATCAAGTTAATCAACATATATATTTTTTGTTGAATCAGTTTACTCTCAATCTATCACAATTAAGTCTCAAGTCCTAGACAAAAAGTTTTCTCCGAAGTATAACAAGGAAGACATTCCTCATTTAGACTCCTATAAAAAGTTATGCCTTCCTGTGTAATATTATTTTTGAATTATTAAACTATGTTGAAGAAAAATAAATCTCTGGATTAAATGGGGGCAGTCAATTTTTATTTCAGTTGTTACATACTACTTATATTGTGCATAAGTAGTTTAATTAGAATGACAAAAAGTGTGTGAGTTTATTTCGAAGTCAAAATTCATTTGTTCAGTATGTCTATAATTTGGTGAATGTCAAGTTTGATACAACTTCATTTTATTTAATACAATTCTAAGTTGAACTTTCAGGGAATAGAGACTTTCATTTATTAATTCTAATGAGATGAGCATCAGTTTAACTTTGACGGAATTCTACTGTTCCATCAGTCAGCTACAACGGAGGTATCTGAAAAGAAAATTGGATTAGAGGTGATCTTAGTGACCTGAGAGCGTGACAACAGTGCTCAAGGGATAACTTCTTGAGGTCGGTCACACACGACCTTTTAATGAGTAATTTTCATATTAGCTCCGTACTTGTTGAGACTTTACGGCCGGAGATGGATATCCGTGGTTAAGGCGAGGTGTATATTTTTATGGTCGACCTTTTCTATCCCTACCCTTTCTTATGGGAAGGCAGCATCGTTGTTATTCTGGTTGTCTGAAAGAAACACCTTACTGCTGTCATCCCTCTGTACAGTTCCATAATAATTCTTACATAAAAACTCCAATTATCCTGTCATCTTTTTAAAAATTCATGTTTACTAGTGAAACAAATCTGTAAGATATACTTCCCATGAAAAGAAAAATCAGATAAGTAGTCATTCAATATGTTTTAAATCTATTTTTATGCTACATCTTATATATTCTTATATGTTTCCACCTTAAATTCTGAAGTTAAAACATCACAATAATCTGATGAAGTTAGACATTAACACCGTCGGATGTCAGCTCAGTAGTCTAATGGTTAAGCGCCAGCGCGCGAGACTGATAAGTCCTGTGTTCGAATCTTGAGGTGAGTGGGATCGTGGATGCGCACTGTTGAGGAGTCTTATAATTGAACTAAACGGCCGTCCAGTGCTTCCAGCTTTTCCATGGTGGTCTAGCTTCAATTGACTCATGATTTCAACTAGTAAAATTTCTTAAAAATCTCCACAAAACCCCTTCTGATAATTATATTTATATTAAAGATTTTCTTGTTTTGCCCAAATTTTTTAAATTAGTTTATCAGTTTTAATAACTTTACTACCAACTAATTTACAAATAAAAAGCATAATTTATCTAATAATAAAAATGAATAAATCACTCCTGTAAATAAAAAAATGGTTGTCGTATTTTATGCAAATTATTCTGAAATATTAACAATGTACTACGAAGTAGACTAGAGTGTATCAATAATGTTAAACAACACGCTTACATTATACGATTTATCAGCTGTATGACTTGAGTATAAATACTTGGTAGTTTCTATACATAATTTAAGTATTGACTTTTTAATAGAAACGTTATATCAGTTAAGCATTCGCCTAAGTTCCCATATTAACAATATACTTTATGAGTCCACATATATTGAAATTTTCAATATTTCAGTTGTAATGTAGGTTTTTATGTACTCACAAAGATTTATATCATTTATTGGAATGAGTTAAGATTATTGTACAAACCACCCGAATATCTACAATAAAGAGAAATGTACCTCATTTACTAGTTACATATCTATGTATTCATCTTGATGATTAGGATGAATAAGGTGTTTGGCGATTGAAAATAGTTAAAATGAAATCCTGAGTCTAGATGTCATATTTTTTATACGTGTTAACAAGAAGTACATACAGTCTCCAATGGAATATTGCTTTTTTTTGGACTCAAACTCTAGGTTATTCAATCCTACAGTCCAAGGCGTTACTACTAACGTTTCCAGATCACGGTCGCTTTTCTACAGGACTAAGATATTTGTTGATTAATCATTAAGTAGTGATTATTATCATAATTGTCCAATCCGATTAGCTAAATCTTAATGAAAAAAATTTATAATATTTGATTCGTTTGGGAAATTTAATTTTCTCTCACATCGTAATTACTCTACTTATGTAAAATATATCTACTAGTATTATTTATTATACATACTATTGTCTAAAGATAGTTTTGGTAATATAACTGACTGTTGAACTTTACCTAATTTGAGTTATTTATGAGATGAAGTGAAGACAACTGTTATTCATTGATTTATTTATTCTTTGAAGAAACAACTTACACTAAGTCACAAAATATAATAAATTCAGTATTCTACTATTCATCGTTATTTTTATTATGTATATCTTGTTTATAATTCAGAGAGACGAATTCCCTGAATTGCTATGAAATAATATCAGTCTAATCTTACCCTTTTTAGTCATTACATTAAATGTGGTGAAAAAAGGAATAGAAAACTGACCACTATTTTGTCTAATCGATTCATCGACTACAGAACATAAGCGAATTCTTGTTAATCGATTTATAAAAGACATTTGTTGAATTACTCTTTTTGTAAGAAAGAAAGTAGTAGTAGTGTGTCTATTATAAAATAGTATCTTCCATATATGTTAAGTTATTGTATTCACTAGTAAAAAGTAATATCAAGGTTTTCTTGTGAATACTATGAATTTTCAGATACTAACATATTGAAGACAAAATTTTGATATGTGAGGTATGTAAATTTGTCAATTGGTTGATTGATTGTTCAATTCCTAATCACGTTTTATCCTTATTGTATATCTTTTCAGTAAGTGCATATATGTATATGTTCTTTATTTGTTGTTCTATATTCGTTTTTCTACTTTCTTTAACCAATGTAGTTGAAACAAATCGATATACCAAAAGTGGGCAACAGCAACGATAAAATGAATCTTCGGAACGTTTATCGATTATATATATATATATATATATATATATATATATATCCACAATAGTCTGTTTTTCTCCATCTTCTCCTTGAAATATCTCTGTCTTCCAATGATATATTGATTAGTGTTTTATCCATTTTCTGATATTTCAATATATTATGTACATGACATTATTTTAACAAATGAATATCAAATAATATGCATAATTTTCATATATATGTACAGTTACTTTTTTCGCCCCCGCCCTCCACCACAGCACCGCATGCTTTGTTTCTTTAATGATGCATTAAATGTTGTCAAAGAAATGAAAACCAATTAATTTTTTTATCCCAGAAACAAATATAAACACTTTTATGTTACATATTATTATATGCCAATGAAAATCTGTTTATTCCATAGAATTTATTTTTATTGTAATATTATTCTTTTTAATTAAGAAGAAGAAAAACTTCAAAATAGGTCCTCTTTAATTATTAACCAATCAATGTCACAATGTTTTCTAACCCGTTTTATACTTAACTAATATATTTATCGCAATGTTAATGGTATTATTCATGTCAATGAAGATCGTTTTATGAAATGAAAAATAGAAGTATCATAAATCAATATTATATTGTCATATTTTATTATATCTTCATGTCGTTCCTCTGTCTTATATGATGTGTATACACTTTCCTATGTGAAATACCTATTAATATAGTCTTTTCTTTCCAGGTTTCTCTTGTTGGTGATTTTTTACCGTTTTCTTTTACTTGTTCTTCTTAGCCTATTATTCTCATCTGTTTTCTTAATTGTTAATAAATTCCTAGGAATGATTACATTTGTATTACTGTTATTTCATGAAATTATTAGTACAGTTTGGCGAAAATAATAGCTTAATTTCATCACATTGATATAATCAATTCACATTTTATGTTGTGATTTGAATTTTATCACAGTTACATCCTCTTCTTTTTACAATTTTCATTCTTTTAGTATTTTTTCAGGACATGTACGTGATTATTTGTGACGTGTTAGATATGAAGGGAAAAATTAGTTCATTAGCTGTAGTCATGATCATAGTTGTGATGATAAAGAGCTTTTCACAGAAAGAAAAGTTATTTTTCATCTTGATATCGAAATCTTCGTCAATTCAATACAATAAAGAGACTTACGGGAGTATTTTAAGATAACAAAAGGTTAGTAATGGTTTAATACACAAACTGTTTAAGACTATAGTACTTGACAAATCGAACTAAGACGCTAATATTTTGTATCTCAAACACCACTTATAAAAATTGGCACAAAGAATAATGTTATAAAATAAGTTATATTGTTAAGCGAAAATCTTGGTTGTATATACTGTTTAGGTATAATTTCTTACTTGTCATAAGTTTAAAATACACCAGTGATGTGTTGAATTTGTTAATTCATGTAAGTCAATCTAAATACAACAATTTTTGGTGTCAATTAGTTTTTCCTAGATTTTAAAATAGTTTGTTTAAAATTTGTAAATTCCAATTTCTTTTTTTTCCAAATATTCTTAATCTATGTTTATGTTAACTTTCTTTCGCAGTTTTTTTCTCTCTCTGTCTATTTCCCTCTTTCTCCCTTGTATTCTCGCTTCATAACTTAACAAGAAGTCAATGAATAAAAAAATAATTTGTTCTTATTAAATAGAAATATGCTTTTCTTTTCGTGTTTTGTTCTAAATTACTTTTGTATACATTACTACACATTTTCTTAAATACCAAATTCTCTTATGGATTAACAATGCTGGATTCACATTAATATAAATTATACAAATAAATAAGTTATGTAAGTAAGGTAATTAAGTAGATACACAAATTAATGGATAGATAGATAGGTAGATAGGTAGGTAGGGAAGTACTAGTCAAAGGAGTAAGGAACTAAGTAATATTTTCACTTTCAATAAATAAATAATGTCACAATACTTAACATTTTAAATAAAGACAAAATAAATAAAAAATATACAGTCATGAAATGATGATCGAAATTTGTTCACTATGAACAGATATTAGTACTAATTTACTGATTATTTTCTTTTCTTAAAGATGTAAATAGGAATAGGATTTAAGCTTCTTTTATAATGGTTTGTTTTAGTTGGATTCGGTACGTTCATTTTCTAAAAAGACAATAAAAGTGTAACGATAAAATACGTTTTTTTAACATACTATTCAAAACAATCTACACATTACCGTTTGTGGGTTCTTTTCAATACAATTTATAGATTGTACCGGGTTTCTATGTAATTCAGTAGAGAATATTCTCGTTATTAAACCTTGGAGTTAATTGTAAGTAAATGTTATTAAATGACTACAGACGTTTGAAGACTCAATACTATCAACATTTAATATAAAATAGATGGAAAGTGGTTAATAGTGAAATTTAAGTGGTCATGTGTTCGAGTCCTTAGTGTGGGATCGTGGATTCTCATTCCTGACGAGTCTCATGCTGGGATGAAACAGCCGGTCAGTGCTTCCATGTTTTCAATGGTTGTCTTGCTTATATTGATTCGTAAATTCAACTTTGTAAAAGTTTAATATACACGTATTCGGGACTTATCAACCGAATGTACTTTTACAAATTAAAATATAGATACTTCATTGATGTGATGTCAAGTTCTGAATAAGCGATATTACTTAGTGAGAATAAAAATTTTTTCAGTTGTTATCTCTGTGTTTTTATATATTCTAAAGAGAGCACGAATCTATAGTGCCGAGTCTCGCTAATCGCTCTTCTAACTCATATTATAGTAGTTGAACGAAAAGATTATCAAATACTAATGATTATTTGCAAATTGTAATTTACAAGATGTTTCTTAAAAATCTAAACTGTTCATTAATGATATTTTTGTATAGTATGGTTTTTTGACGTTGTTTCAAAAAGATAATTTAATCAACAAGCGAATGACTTATTTTGTATTCAAAGTGAAGGTAATTATAACCTCGTTGGTCAGTAACTAATAAAGAAAGGTTTTCATGTATACCTAAGACGCTTAGCTTTCAGCTAAGATGTTGACAATCAGTAGCCTGTTGGCATGTAAACATCCTTTTACGTTACACATCCTTAGATGAAAATTGGATTCTACCTTGATCATATGGTTAAATCAAAACATAATGTTTTCAAGCCACTTTCAACAGGTATAATGGCATTAGTTATTAAGATAAAATGTTTGCCATAAATTTCTTAGTTTGAAAACTTTTTCGGTGCGAATATGATTTATGGATGACCTTTGAGAGACGCTGAATTGACCGTGAGGATGCCCACCTACTAAATAGGACTAAATGAAAGCTATAAACTAGTGTGAGGAATTAGAATTACTATTTACAGTTGATGGTTAGGGTTAGGAATTTGATTTAGGGTTTTCATCACAAACTGGCATCATCTATATTGCCAAAACACTATTTAGACAAATGTATGGGTGAATTTCGTGCCAAAATCCAAGACTTATATCTGGTTGGCTCGTCAATAAATTATAGTCTCTTTTTTCTGAATGAGAGCAACGTGTAGTGGCTGGTTCTGTGTCGAGCGCACACATCGTATTCTAACTTCTGGACAAACCAATTTATCCGTTCTCAAAACAATCATTTGTTTTTTTAAAAAAACATTCTAGCTTTATTAAATCATATCCATCGTCTAAATTATGCTTAAAAAACAAAAATAAATGAGCTAATCTCGCCTACCAACTGGTCACAAATACAATTCCCCTTTAATGAGGTACGTTGATCATACACCCAGAAACTTATCCAACCTTTCTAGAGAATCTTGAAAAATAATAATCGAAAGTTCATTAAAACGTAGCTAGTAGCAACCATTTAAAATCAGAATCATGTGGAATTTTATCCATTTCGTGATCTAAAACTTCATTATAAAAATATTTATATCATTTGTTGTTGTTGTTGTTTGAGCAAGTTAATTCAATTTTCAATGAAGATCTCTTTTAGTTTATCTGTTTGTAGTGTTATAAAAACCAACATGGCTTATTCTAGCTTTCAGACAGACCAATTTATTCATTCTTCTTGAATCACATCTTCACTTTGTTAATTATTCGCTTATCAACCTTGACTGTTTTTATGTAGTCGTATGTGTGTGCATTTTTTTTATCTTACTCACCACATGTCTGTAACTTATTTTATCTGACTACAAATATTGATTAAATCAAGTTGGCTCGTACGCCTTGTCCATCGAGTTTCATTTCGCTTCGCTTCCTTTGCTATGTCTCTATGATTATCTGTTTCAACCAACGATTATACAAAATATACATATTTGAAATTCATTCTTGTATTTGACCTATCTAATTGCGTTATTAACTAACGCAATTTAATTCGATGATTATATACGAGAATAGTGAGGATGTATATTTTGACAACAATCATCCATACGACGTAACTAGACTCAGATCTCGGGCCACTAAAAACGTACTCATTCTTATACAGGTGCCTAACGTACTACGTAAAATGTAATAAGTAAACTATGTTTAAACCATTAGAAATTCTTCTGATGATTTACGAAAAACCTTATACCTGTTACCCCTTCTCGAGGAGCATAGGCCCCCGACCAGCACTCTACATCCAAACCCCATTCTGGGCAATCATTTTCAATGCTTGGCTCATTGTGTTCTTAGGCCTTCCACTTTTCTGTTTCTCTTCAGGATTTCAAGTTAGGGCTTGTTTCGTGATGCGCTATGGTGATTCCCTCAATGTATATCCTATCCACCCCCACCGTCTTCCTAATTTTCTTTCCAGCTTGAAGCTGGTTTGTCCTCTCCTACAGTAGACTGTTCTGATAGTATCCGGCAACGGACGTTGAGTATCGTGCATAGATAAATTGTTTATAAATACCTGTACCTTTTTGATAATGGTTGTGTTAGTTCTCCAAGTTTCTGCTCGAAACAGTAGAACTGCCTTGACGTTCATACTGAAGATTATGACTGATATTATTTGAAATTTATTTTGAGTTCCATATGTTCTTCAACTGTAGGCATGCAGCGTATGAGATAGAAGGACCAGGTCATCTGCGAAGTTCAAATCTTCTAATTGACTTCAAGCTGTCTGTTGTATTCCGTGTTTCCTCTCAGACGTGGGGGTCTTCAGACTGCAGTCGACAACCAGAAGAAAGAGGTAGGGTGAGAGTAACAGTCTTGTCTGACTCTGGTTCTCATTTGTAATGCGTCTGTCAATTGTCCTGCATGTTATATTTTGCGGTGTAGTCCGTCGTATGGATTCCGTATGATCTTGACGATTTTCTCAGGTACACCATAGTGTCAAAGAAGCTTCCATAAAGTTCTCCTGTCCACACTGTCAAACACCTTTTGATATTCGAGGAAAATGATGTATAGTGGCGAGTTTCATTCAATTGATTGTTCAATGATGATCACTAGTGTCACGGTTTGGTCTGTGCACGACTGATCTTTACAGACTTCAGCCTATAAATCTCAAAGTTTGGCTTCCACTACGTCTTTCATTCGGTTCTACAACACTCCGTTGAAAACCTTTCCTGGTACCGATAGTAGTGTGATAACCTCTGTGGTTCTTGAGTTTGCTCAGATGTTTCTTTGGTATCTAGATGAGATGTCTCTATTTCCAGTCCATCGGTACTCGTTCTTCCTTCCAAATCTTCCTGAATAGGACGTGAAGCATGTTTGCAGTTACTTCCTTATCTGACTTTAGTGATTCGGCTGGTATATTGTCAGGTCTTGCTGCTTTCCCACTCTTGAGTTGCCTGATGACCATCCTGATTTCCTCCGTCGTTGGTGGAGTGACATCTACAAGAATGGTTCTTACAAAAAAACATAAGGATTTGAATTACCCCGTTGTTGATATTGAGAACTGAGTGCTTACCAATCTATGTTCTAATATATACATCTCGTGAGGATTCTTTCAATATAGCCACGATCATGGTTAATAGAATAAATGGAATGTAGTTAAAAAGTTTGTAGTTTCCATCATGACCTCCATCTATTTGAAAAAACCCACTAAAATGTTTACAGTTACACAACGTCATAATGCTGCGTAATCTCATCTGCTTAAAGTTGAACTTTGCAAAAAGAAAAACTCGATCATTTTTGTATCATTCATCGATTCTAACTGCATCTGACTGAAATCCCTATACTTTCCTATCAATATTATCCGTCAAAATAGTTACGCTTATAGTATTTCTAAATTGAATCAAACCCTCAGTCAGTAACAACGTACGTACATCAGTTCGAGTTGCCATACCACATTAGCACAGAGATACAATTGTCGATTCGAATCTCGTAGTGGTAGATGTAATAAAAGTATAGACAGTTATCGAAAACACTAGGGTTTGAGGATGTTATTGAAGGAGTATAATACAGCGAAATCAATTTCGAAAAAGAAATAAAAATGAGACATGAAGAATTCAGAAGATTAGAATGTTAGAGAACACAACGAGCGGATGCACATGCGCCATTGCAAATGATTTTGAGCCATGTTATTCAAGGTTTCTAACCATTGGTTGCTATCATTTCGCGGATCCCAAACGCGAATCTCAAACCCTCATAACAACTTGATAAATTTCATGTTTAATGATAAAATTAACAGTAAAACTGTTTATAACCCAAAAATTCAAAATACCAACCTATATATATATATATATATATATATATATATATATATATATATATATATAAACAGTTTATTGCGAAATACATGAATATTTACAAATGAAACTTACATTTTTCTAAACGGGACTACTGAGAAAATTTGTATCAGATATCAAATCTGGTTGAAATCCAGTAAAATTTTCACTACTTTCAAAATCAGAATCTAATGGTAATAGTTCTGAGTCTTCATATTCAAATATATTTGAGTCATATGAATTACCATTAAAATCTATATGCATTTGTACTCCATCATTATCGTACGACAGTTTGTTTGATAATGGTATTGATTCTAATAGTTCACTAACAGTAGCTTCCATTTGCATACTTACATTTAAATCTGTTAGATTTTGTTCATTTGGACTAAGACTGATTGATGTACTTGATCCATGTGATGAATATACTGAATGAGGTGATGAATTGTCTGTTATAGATGATGACCAATTATCTCCAGATTTCCATTGGTGATCATTACTAACAGGTTTTATAGTTAATTTCATTGGGTTCAATGTTTTATTGTTGTCAGGACCAAATATCTGTTTTGTATATATCAAAAATATTACATGAATATTAGAAAAAAATAAACCGTTTTATATTCATGTTACATGTAATAGTTAAATAAATATAACTAAGTACATGACTCATTATATCATAAGCCTTGAAATTAAATCACGTTGACTTGATTTGATTAGTTAGTTTTATCATATAGGTGCAATTTTCAGTATCTTGAGAAGAGATATTTATATGCTAAAAAATTTGAAGAATAAAATTTACAACATCTTATTACTTAACTACAGAAATTATTTCATCAAACATACTTTACTGTATCATTTCATTATGAGCAAAGATACACTTTAAAGATTCTGTGCCAAGTAAATATTCACAAAATAAGTTATGGTCATTATGTTTAGTCAATCAGTCAGCTATAACGTAGGACCAAGCACATATATGCATTGGTCCAAGTTGCCATACCGCATTAACACAGCAAGATGAACACCGATTCATAGAAGTACTTACTTCAGTGGTGATAATATATATGTTTAGATGCAGAATTTATATATTTAAGTGTTAGAAAGTTGGAAATATCATCTAAGCACTTGAACATTTCTAATAATTAAGCCGGATAATCAGTAGACATGAACAACATTGACATGATTTCCTAAATATTCTCAGTTAAGAACGTTTGAGGGAAAAAGTTTGTATTTTATTAGGATGATGAACTAACCCACATTAGATTCATCGAAAATCCGGAAGCACTAAACAGATGTTTCGTCTTAATATTGGACTAACAGGTGATGCGCATCCATGACCTTTTCGAGGGTTGGACCTAGGATTTTCAGATCTCGTGGCGAGCGCCTAATCATTGGACCACTGGCGTGGAGCCCGAAATTTTGTATTGTTGACTTCAGTCAATTTACAATATTTCACAGTTATCTTGCATTGTCTTTAACGAGTAGTGGACTCACATTTGACACGATTAGACGTAATTGGTCATGGCTTGTTAGCGTAAATTTCCTCTCAAAGTTAAACATTTAATCAATAGGTGTCGGTTCAGTGGTCTAAAGGCTGAGGTATCATTGAGAGATCTCTAGGTTCTGCGTTTCATCCTAGGTGGAGTTGTGAATGTGAACTGCTAAGAACGTCCACAATAAGACGAAATAGCTACTCCGCCGCTTCTTTATTTTCATTGGTGAGTTTATGATCTTAATAACACTAAATAATCTCTACAAATCCCCATATCGATAGTACATACATTCTGAGCAAACTTTCGACAAATAAATCTATGGTGAAACCAGCTTCTATAAATGGTTAACTATTTAAACTCAATGTCTCTAAATCCTACTCTATAGTACTATGCTTTTCCCTATACCTTTATTACACTGTCATAATCTAAAAATATACTATTAACCTATTTCAAAAACTAACGAAAATATAAATGATAATAATCATAAATACTACTAGCAATGAATTGAACTTACCATATGATTGTAAAGATCATTTATTTGTGAATATGGAGAAGAATGAATATTATTATTATTATGTAAAGATGTAAGATTGTGATCTTGACACATTGCTGAATATTCAATATATTTACCTCGTTTATCATCACCATTTTGACATTTATTCCTAGATATATTGGAAGTATTAAATGTTTGTAATTTATTTAACATTATTGATTTTGTTGGAACAGATGATGGTAAAGATGAAACTGAAGATAAGAAAATTAACTTTTTTGAAGAAGAAGATGAAGAACAAGATGATAATGATGATGATGTATAGTTAACTACTGGTAACATAGATTTTACATAATATGGAACTGATGATAAATTTGAAGGAGAATCATGCAATGAGGATTTTGTTGTAGAAATATTTAATACAGAATTTATTTGTCTATTATAACTATAACCATCGACCTTAGTAGTATCATACAAATGTGAATTCAAATAAGATGAGCAAGGCACTTTAGTATTATTATTATTACTACTATTATTACTAAATGAAAGTAGCCTAATGGATCTAATTTGATTATTTGCAGAAATGATCTGATTATATCCTTGTCCTGATTGTTGTTTTATATATTGAGAAGATTGAAATGGAAACAATTTGATAGGTTTAATAATGTTATTATTTTTAATAACTAATGATGTAGATGGTTTTTTTAAGCGTACAGGACGAAATGATGAATTAGATATACGAACTTGTTTAGTTTTCAATTGTTGATCATAACGACGATTAATTGAATATTCATTTGAAGGATTACATTTGAATGTTTTCATTATGTTTTGTGAAGAGATATTATTGTCACTGATAGTATTATTTATTTTTAATTCAAATTGTGTAAGTGAACTTTCAAAAGATACACTTAGTAATCTTTGATTCGATCCAACAGCACAAGTGTATAATTCACATAATCTAAATAAAAGAAATAATCAATATTGTTTTTTTCTCTTTTTCAATAACATGTTACATCATAACAAATTGAAGTAATAGTGTTTTGTGTAAATTAATCAATTAAATATTTGAGTCAGTCAGTCAGCATCAACGTATAACTTCGTACATACGCACATCAGTTCGAGTTGCCATACCACATTAGCACAGAGATACAATTGTCGATTCGAATCTCGTAGTGGTAGACGTAATAAAAGTATAGACAGTTATCGAAAACACTAGGGTTTGAGGATGTTATTGAAGGAGTATAATACAATGAAATCAATTTCGAAAGAGAAATAAAAAGGGACATGAAGAATTCAGAAGATTAGAATGTTAGAGAACACAACGAGCGGATGCACATGCGCCATTGCAAATGATTTTGAGCCATTTTATTCAAGGTTTCTAACCATTGGTTGCTATCATCTCACGGATCCCAACCAGATAGTCTACACCTACCAACATGGCTCAGTCCACGTGTCAGTGACTTCATGGATTTATGCCATGTTTTGGTCTGGCAGCACCTAGCTTTCTTCCAACCTACTCCTACACCATGAAACATCACATATCGGAGCAGTCGGTGGTTGGGCATAAGTAACACGTATCCGAGCCATCTCAAATGATGAAGTTTCACTTCTTCGTCAATTACTTTGCCATCCCTACCCTGTATCCGTTTCCTAACAATTGCGTTAGTTATTCGGTGGTCCCAGTAATACTTCGAAGACACCTATGATTGAATACTAGTAACCTATAAATATCCTCTGCTCTCACTGACCATGTTTTAATGCCATAAAGTAGGACGGAACGAGCTACTGTTCAGTAAACTCGTCCTTTGGTTTGTAGACGGATATCTCATCTACGGCAAAAGCTAGTCGAGCCTTCTGTATCTGTACTGAGATTTCGTCACACACCAGACCAAAAGGGCTGATGAGACTCCAAAGATAAGTGAAGCGGTCGACACGCTCAACTACTTCACTCCCTATCATTAGTTCAGGTGCCGGTGCAACCCAGTCCTGAGGCAACATTTTGAATTTCGAGAGGGAGAATCGCATCCCGAACATGCTTGCATTTTTGCTTATAGCGGTCAGAAGACTCTGCATTTTGTCAGCGTCTTGGACAAATAGGACTACGTCATCGGCATATTCCAAGTCAACAAGTGAATCTCCCGGTAAAAGTTTAGCTGCTGGAAATTTAGATGAGGAAAGTGTTATCTGTAAAAGCATATCAACGACAAAGTTAAACAAGAATGGAGAGAGTGGACAGTCTTGATGAACATCACTTGATGTAATCGATTCTGATGAAAGTTCGGTTGGATATGATAGTCTTGAATGATAAAGCAACTTAGTTAATTCTGTTAAATTCTTTTACTCCGTATTCTTAAAAAGTGTAAAGGATCCATGATGTATTGTATTCCTATAACTAATTGTTTTTAAGAAGTTTTAGCGTACCCAGTAATTTTTTTTTAATAACTAAGCGATGGTGATTACGAAAGAAAATTATTCAGTTGTTATCACTTACCTAGATATAAAATTACACTCAAAGAGAACTTTTTGAATTCTTCTATTACGAACATGCATTATGCACCCAAATAGACCTTTTAAAAATATGATTCATGACTTATGCAATTGAACACTATACGAGTACCCTTCAATCAATAAATCCTAACTCCATCACAGGACAGCAATATCTGTACACGAAATATATCATATCAAGTTCTCATTATTGTGAGGTCAAAATAAGTAATGACAAATTGTACTAATTATTCAGTATGCTCATCTCATGAGTTTAAACCAACCAATTTTATCAGATTCTATATTACTATGAATAGTATAATTTAGCCTACATTTTTTCTCAACATATTTGAAACCTATTAAAAACTTGTATTTAATATGAAAATAGTTTGCATTGCAGACTAACATTAGTTCGAAAATGAATTATTGAAATATTTGTTTCATTTTAGTTTAAAACTGCTCATCAATATTCGATAATTCATCCACTTAAATCCATGTGTAATGGTTCACATTTATCAACCTCAATATGTTTCGTCGCACAATAAGACTACAATTCAATGTTATCGAAGGAGGTCAGGCTCATTCCCTGTCCAGTTAGTCTCAGAAATGATGTAGTCTAACTTGTGTATGATTATAATCTTGCTTGTTTAGTTGAAATTAGATTAATAATAGAGATGTCAAGTGAAAAGTATAACATGATCCAAGAAATTCACTTGGTATTGTTTGCTTAAATCTTCCCATTGATGCTTAGAACTGCAATAGGTCAGTCTCATATTGGCACATGTTCACACTGTGCACATTGCATCGATATTGCCCTAATTCACAAGCATTATATGCAAAGATGGTTAATGGCTAACAATGAAATCCAGGACGTACGTTTCGTCCTGTTTTGGATTCGTCAGCGGGATATCCTGCATCCGATATTTGATGTTCACTCCATTGAACAAACTAGTGGCTATCAGGACTCAGTAGTAAATGGATAATGTGATGAAGTTTAAAGTGGACGGTACTGGGTTTGAGTCCTAGAATAAACACCGACTCTGAAATGCAGGTACATCCAGCTGACGAGTCCCGAATACGACTTAACGCGTATCCTCAATTTCACTGATAACCACTATCCACCTTTGCTTATAATCTAAGAAAACCTGGAAAAAAATATTTATTTGTAACCGAATATAGGAATCACCAAAATTTCAACTTTCGAAATCATATGTACACTCTACTATAATAGATATCTCTTCAAAATGTGAAAGCTAAAAGTAGCTTTACATTCCATTCCCTATATCTCAATTACTCATTTTACCTTTTTTTCTTTTCACATTTTCTCAATGACAGGAATAATTTATAGTATAAATTTTGTATGGTAATATGTCTATTTTATTTCCAAATACATGGATACGTTAACACATGAGTAAATCATCACATTCAGAGGGTACATGAATAGCTTGTTTTATATACAATTTTGGTGTTTATTATCAATAATTGAAAATCACTAACTACTCAAATCAGTAAGAACTTTCGTCTCAATTTGATCGAATAGTTTCACAGTGTTTGTGCGTCGAGTTAATGTAAGACATAAAAGAGGAAGAATGGTGTTGGTAAAATCTCAGTGAAAGAATTCGAAGTTTCATTTATTATTTGAACACAGATATTGGTACAAGGAGGTACCGAATAACTATGTGCCACACAAATCTCATTTGATTTGTGCGAGGGCTGTGATACTGCACAGCTGCCCAAACCAAAGCAGGTGGTTTTCGTAGGAGCCACACCCGGAGCCTTCGACCTAAAAGTCTAATCCACAAGGCGGTGGAGCATCGTAAGGAGATGTAGTCCCATGGTGGCCGTTGACCAACAATCGGTTCATACGCCATTTGTCCCCTCAGGATCCTGGAGCCCATGTACACCATTAGTTTGGAATCAGGGTTTTTCAACCCCCTTAGGTGCACACGGAGTGTTCACCAACCCGGTCAAAACTCCGGACATTCGCTTTCGATCCTCTCAATTTCGTAAACAACACCCCCGTCACGAGAAGGCAGTGAGTAGGACTTCCCTGGCAGAGGCTATATAGGCATGGTCATGTGAGAGCATTTTGAGAGAGTGAGCGGACTCTCCCCACTCTCGGCCGTACCAGGGCATTTGGTGTAAATTTAATTTAAATCATTTATAATATTTTCATCAGTAGTTTATGTTATGAAGATATTTTTATTTGATTTACATAGTCTTCATTATTCTATTGAATTTAATAAGTTTGTAGGTATCAATGCAAAGATTAGACTTGATAGTTTCAAATAAATTAGGGATCAGGTAGAAAGTTAATAAGAAATATATCTATTTTGTGATATCCTAATAAGTAGAAAATTATATTTCTGATGTTTCGTGACTTGATATAAGACAATTATTCAGAGTTGATTCTTTAAAAGTAGATTACATAAAGTCACGAAATGTCAGAAATATAATTTTCTATTTATTGAGATATAACAAAAAAGATATATTTATTACTACTGAACATAATTATCATCTCTTCTCTTTTCTTACACCTGTTACCCCTCTTAGAGGAGCATAGGCCGCTCACTAGCATTCTCTATCCAATTCTGCTCCAAATATTCTTTTCCAGTTTCTATTCATTCTTTTGATGTCTGCCTCCAATTCTTCATGCATTAAGTTCCTTGGTCTTTCTCTTTGCCGTTTCCTTTCAGGATTCCAAGTAAGCGCTTGCCTCGTGATGCAGTTCGATGATTTACTCAATGTGCGTCCTATCTACTTCCAACGTCTTTTCCTAATTTCCTTTTTATATGAAATCTAATTTGTCCTCTTCTATAGTAGAATGTTGCTAATGGTATCCAGCCAATTTTTTAGAAGTACTAGTACTTTTTTGATGGTTGCTTAAATAGTTCTCCAAGTTTCAACTTCGTACAACATAAGTATCAGGTTATGTGTTAATTATCTTTCATGGATTAACTGAATACTATTCATAGTTGAAAATCTAAAATATCCCTGTATTATTTATCTAAGATCAAATTCAACATATTGTGACCATAAAATCAGCACAGGAACGGATTCTACTTAACATCGACCTTTTTTTAACTTGAATCAAATGTGAATACTCTTTCCAACTCATTTTTTTGTAGCTTTTAACTTATTTATTAATATCAACAACAAAAAAAGGATAAAGAAGAAATAGGTTAAATTCATACACAATCAACATTATAATATAAGTGCTTACCCAAGAAACTGACTGGAACATATAAAAATATTGTTCATTTTGTTATACGATACTAAACTACGTATCCAACGATAGGACTTCTCAGTATTATTGTTTACCATTTTATTATGTACTGATACTCTGTATGGACTGATCCATGCCAGAGAATTTGTATGAATTACTAAAGAGAATTGGATAAAGTAAAGAAAATCGAAAAAGTTAGTGTTGACAAATAGATAAGAACAATGTATATTGTATGAAAAAAGAATATTCTTGACTTTTATTATTCATGTTATTTAGGACTACTCATCTAGATGGGTCCACATCCCAGTGTTGATATTAAGATTGAGATTTAAACTCACTAACTAATCTGCTTCTAATGTATTTCATTAGGATTCGGTCTGACTCTATGAATGAATGGTAGAGTACTCGCGGAATAAACCAACAGTTATTTTAAAGTGTATTGTTGCCTTGACAGCAATATTTTGTATAAGAAGTGTCATAATAAAAAATAATGATGTTTCTGGTACTTGAATGCCTAATACTGACTACTAATCATTCCCTAGTTTCCAGATGTCTTCAAAACTTCAACCTTGAACGAACGACAAAAGGTGGGAAATATGGAAAGGACTTTTTCTTCTAATGTTAGTTTAGATACAGAGAACGAAATTATGTATAAGTCCGTGTACAATCTTAACAGTTAGAAAGCGTCTGGAAATCTAATGAATATAACTCTTTAAGAAGTTTCTACTAAATCCTGAATGATGTATAGAGTTTCATCTTTCTATAAATTACTGAAATTTTTTTCCTATGAATTTGGGAGGGCTACTAACAATTAGAAAACAGTAAGTTTCAATTTTAAGAAACCTCAATAATGACAAGTTTCATTAACCATTGATGATCAAAATAACAGTCAAAAACCAAACTTTGGGTTCTTATCTGTTGATAATATATGATCTTATTATCACAGGAACATTAAGAAGTCATTGTTAACTCAAAGTGTAATATTTAACCCAATGTTACTTTCCTAAGACGTATTCAATTATTTCAGTAAATTTTCATAAGAGACATTTCTAATAATGGATTGAATGACAGGCCATTTTGTAAAGACGTAATTAAAATCAGATCATGTAATAGTAACTATGATTGTTATACTTAAGGGTGATCACATATTGTCATTAGGTAAGATTATGAACTAAAGTTGTATAGGAGAACATTCTATAACCAACAAGTATAAAGTTAGTTAATATGATTTGTAATCTTAATTGTCTTGACTACCTATCCATTCTAATCTGAATAAGTTAATATTTCAGTAGAAAATTGGTTACTTCTATGTTTGAATCTGTTGTTGTTATTATTATTAGATTTTCAATGATTAATTCTGGTATAATAATTCATTATTGTTAACTTTATTTCAATATATATTTTGTTTCCTATAAAAATTGTCCGGACGTTCGATGTACCTATAAAAATTGTTGCTCTAGTTGTTAGAAAAGAATGAATAACAACTGGAAAGAGCTGGAAAGTATTGCCCAGGACAGGGTTGGATGTAGAGTGCTGGTGGGCAGCCTATGCTCCTCCACGAGGAGCAACAGGTGTAAGTAAGTAAGTAGGTATATATTTGTTTCACTAACAGTGAATCACAATTAAATTTCAATGTGAAGTATTATTAATTTTCAATTTTTGGTAATAAGAATGAAACCTACTTCTAGTAAAAATAGTAATAACATTTTGTAGATCATCAGGATGAATAAATTCAAGATAAGAATAATTGACTATACCACTCTGATCTTCAATATCGAAACAGTCTGTGTAACTGTAAAATGTAATCAAGCATATTAGAAAAATTATAAACAAGTTGTTTGAATAAAAAAAGTAGGTAAAGATATTTTAAAAAAGATCCAAATATTTAGTTAGTGGTTGACTGATTAGTTAGATTATTCTATTATTCTATTTCTTTCATTTAGCTAGAAGTTTACATCCTCCAATTTAAACGTGTTTTCATCCGATTATCATGTATATATCAAAGGGTCTAATCTTTAATAGCGCTCCATGATATCTGAAGGTCTCGGGGTTTGGTCCCCGGATGATATTAAAATGACTTTGGTTTCTATTTTTGCACCAAACGATAGATTTTAAAGGTATAATTATAAACACATAAAAGAATAGTGATTGGCCCAAGTGCTATCGTAATGTGTCTTCAATATTACCAGGTGCACAGATTTTTCGCACAAATATATACTGAGATACGAACTATCTCTGACTGTAATCACGTTCGCGCTTAAATCTAAATTATCAGTAGTATGATTACTAGACCTCATTATTATTAAAAAGTCAATCACTTCACAAATTAGTGGCCTTTAAATCTATTTTAAAACACTAATCACTGATCATATCATTATTAAGATTGATAATATCATTAGGCAACAGATTTGTGGAATATGAAGGGGGGGAGTGTTAAAAACTGTTCATAAATGTAAGAGATAGGTGTGATTGAAAAACTTAAACAACAGTTGTTTTAATTTTGGTCACGATCTACTGTTGTATCTTGGATACACACGGTTGAGGATTAATATTACCTGGGATGAAATAAATGGGCACTGTCCCATAATTTTTGATGGTTGTCTAAAACCACACCATGAATTAGACTAAAATTCACCAATCTTCATAAACTTTTGTAGTAATATATATATATATATATATATATATATATATATATATATATATATATATATATCAAACGGTAATCAATTTTTGAAGAGCTTTTATAGTAGGATAATTTAACATTGTAATATTTACAACAACGGATCAATCAATGGAATTTGATTAATATCATGTGACTTATGAATGTTTGCTATATTCATGAAAACGACAACAAGTTTATGATTTAAACACTGAGCCACGATATTTGTGTGAAAATAATGTTATTACTTAGCTTCCGAAAGATGGACAGGGATTTTAACTAGCGATTGATTGGTTGAAAACTTAGTGTGTTAACAATCAGGCAATGGCTTCACATAGGTTTTCTATATGAAGAAAAGACGGGGTGTTATTAGAAAGTAGTGAGTGGGCAGTCAGTTCGCTACAAAGTACGACCAGGGACATATATGCATCGGTCCAAGTTAGCATACCTCGTCAGCACAACAAGATGAACACTAAATTCATAGAAGTAATTACTTCAGTAGTAGTAAAATATAAAATAAAGATTGTGTATTAGGGTATAATTCAGGAAGATAGAATTAGTTCGTAGAAATAAAGGTATAAAGCAATTTTAATCTCACGGTTTAAGGGAAGACAAAGAGTGTATAAACTCTGAATGGGCAGTGGATTTAATCTATATTTTACGTGAAGCGTTTGTCCACCTATTCCATAAGGAAACATTTAAGCAGCATCGCCAATCGATTAAACTCAGGAGTGTAAACTATGAAATCCCGACTCAACAATATGAAGGTTGAGTTATCTCTGAGAGATATCAAGGTTCGGCGTCTGATCCCTGACAGGGATGCGGAGATGAGCTAAGGAGGGATCTTCTTTATTCTTTATGCTTCTTTATTCTCAATGGTTGTCCAGCTGAGGTCAGTTCCAACCCTCAATAACAATCAACGATTTTCGCAAAACCCTGTACTAAAAATATTATTTTCATTATTTATTGAATACAGTATAATCAGAAATTTTTTAAGAATCACTTACTTTCCTTGAACCATTTTTATTGTCAAGGCACAATTTAAATATATATGACACTGGAAAGATTTTGATTTTATACACTCCTTGTTTTTTTCAAGGGAAGGGATTTTCATTGGCGTCGATACACTAAATAATGATGATGATGATGTTGTTGTGTCAACATTGGATATCTCCGTTAATGATTCATCTGACTGTTTAATATTGATGTTTTTATGTAACTCACAAGAAATTGATGAATCCTGTTTATCATTAGCAGCTGACTTTTGTGAATCTTCAAGTATATGGATAGATGAATCTAACAGATTATTTTGATTTACGTCTCCATTAATATTATTATCATTACTATCATTACTGATAGTGCTATTATGATTATATTCAGTATCGTTGATTATGGAATCCACATGATTTGTCAAATCATCAAATGGTGAAATTTTATTGCATACAGGCTGTAAAAGACATAAGTACAATCCAGTAGATAAAGTTGAACTGATCTCATTAAAACCATCACATGAATTACATGGATTATTGATTATGGAAGAAGGGTAGGAATTATCACATGAAGATTCAAAAGTCAAAGAATCTGGAGAAAATGAATCCTTCATTAATATATCCAATAATTCATTATTTATTAGGGATTTATCATCATCATAATCATTATCATCATCACCATTGATATAGTTACTATCATCAGTGGAACTATTAGTTACATCACATTCATCTAATGAATTCAAAATTTCACTGAATCCAGTTGAACTATCAGTAAATGTATTGATCATTAAATTACTCCAACAGTAACATATCTGTGATATTTTCAAAATATAAACTGACTAATTCAGTGATGTTTATTTATTTAAGAATAATTTTATTGAAAAAAATATATAAGATGAAGCTATTCTCTTGAACAGCTTTTTTTCGAATTAAGTTAATAATCATAATGATAACCTTCAAGTTTAACTTCGAAGTATCTGATAACTAGAACTTCTATTCGTCATTAAATACAAAGATGGATAGTGACGACGTGCGTTTCGTCCTATTCGGGACTCGTCAGCTGAATGTACCTGCATCTCAGAGTTGATATTCACTCTGGGACTCAAACCCAGTACCATTCGCTTTAAACGCCATCGCGTTATTCACTGAGTTCGAGCCTCGGAGGGGACATCAACTCTGAGGTGCTGGCACATCCACCTGATGATTCCCAAATAGGAGGAAACGCGTGTCCTGGATTCCACTGCTAGCCATTATCCCTCTTTGTTCATAGTGCTTGTGAATTAATGCAATATCGAGGCAACACACACAACATGAACGTATGCCAATAAGAGACTGATCAATTGCAGTCCTAAACATCAATGGGATTGATTGAGGTTAGACACCATTGGATGCCGGCTCAGTGGTCCAGTAGATTAAGCGTCCGCGCGCGAGGCTAAAGACCTTGGGTTCGAATCTTTTGGGCGGGATCTTGGATGCGCACTGCTGAGGAGTCCCGCAATAGGACGAAACGTCCGTCCAGTGCTTCCAGGTTTTCAATGGTTGTCTAACATCAATCGGTTCATGGTCTCAATCAAAAAGTTTACGATCTCCACAACCTCTAAACTGATATATATATATATATATATATATATATATATATATATATATATCTTAGACTCCTTGACAGTGTTACAGCTAATATCAAATAGACAGTCCACTAGTTTAAAGTCTAGTTATCATTTCATACTAGAAACATTAACCTTTCCACAAGGTAACATGATAAGAATAATAAAAGATATGTATATAATACCGATGTCAGGATGTGATTAGAAACAGGAAATGTTTATATAAACTGAAAGCACAAATACGTTACATTTTATAAAATTATACGAGAAACTAATTGATTAGCGTTTGAATCAATCCCGTTAATTTATAATTTTTCTTGAACCGAATCTTGTCTATAGAACAAAAGTAATTAATTGAGTCTCTTTGTATTTATATTTAATAAACTCGGTACTATGGTGGTATAAATGTTTGATATAATCTAGTATTGTCAGTTTTCGCTAATCAATAGTTACCAACTAATAAAAACACATTAAGTATGTGTTAGTTTTCATTGATTCTTTAATTTCAATAGTTGAGTCATTGTAGGACGGAACGGCCATCCAGTGCTACTAGGTTTTCCATAGTGGTCTAGCTTCAAATGACTCATAATGTCAACCACTGAAATTACTATAATTGTTGATGAATCTTTATAAACTAGCCATATAAAGTAATTGCATAGCTAATCGATGATTAGTTTCATGGTAGACTCTCCAAAATGAAAGTGAGAAACGTCAACTTGTAAAGTCAGGTAAATCAATGGTGAAATAGTTATGCCCATTGATAACTTTAAGTGATTATTACCACATATCGTCGAATAACTGAAGTTATAAAGTCTTGATGTAATCGGGAAGTAACCGTTGCTGCTACCCTGACGTGGTGGTCGGGCTTGCCTATCGTGATGAACCAATCGAGCTATACTAGCTGGAACAATCGTTCCTCAAGGTCCTACCATGCTAGACAGGTTGGTTGAAGAGTGATAAGACTAAATACAGTAAACCCAAGGTCTGACGACGTAGTCGTACAGAGGTGTGATGGCTTTAAAGTGTTTCCTTTAGACAACCAGCATAACAACGATGCTGCCTTCCAACAAGGAAGAAGGGTGGGGTAAGAAAAGGTCGACCCTAAAAATGGACACCATATACCACGGATATCCGTCCCCGGCGGTAAGGTCTCAACAAGTACGGAGCTAATACAAAAATTATCCACAAAAAGGTCATGTGTGACCGACCTCAGGCAGTTATCCTTTGCGCACTGCGGTCACGCTCTCAGGTCACTATGACCACCTCTAACCCAATTTCCTTTTCAGACACCTCTAGAAGAACCCTTCCACGGTGTGGGCAACCGAGAAGTGATAACCGCCCTCATACTTCTAACAGCACTCAAGACTGAACAATCCGTTAATCTGAAACTTTTAACTGAAATTAGATCAATATGGAAACAGATTGCTTACGGGAAATTACACAACTTCTCATGAAATTATTTAACTTTTATTGTATAAAACCATTAACGAACAAGTCACTCATAAGTTTCTAGTCACAAGTCAATGTATTTTCAACTGTGTAAATAAACACTTTTTAACAGTCTTATTATCGATACATTCCTGTCTAACTGTAGTTATAGAGTATGGGTAACAGTATAAAATTGTTATGAAGGAACCCAGCAATTCACTCAACACTAATCAGTATAACTTTGATATTTCAATGAAAAAATAAATCTACCTACTCTAAACAAATCTCAAAATGCATATAAATACACCTACCTAACAAATAATCATCAAAATCAGTATGTAAGAAATCAAATTTACAGCTTTACCAATAACCATATCGATGATTTCATGAAATTCATTGAATATTTTCTTTAACTAACATCATTGAAGTCCTAATTCATTCTGCTTAGTGAATTTAAATGATTTCACTCATTTATCAGGTGGAAGTGAATGGTGATTGTTTATATATATATATATATATATATATATATATAATTCAAGATACAACTGGTGAAATTCTAGTGAGAATCTGAGACCGGTGGAGTTCAACCATATTGGGTGTGAGACAGTTATCCACCACAGGTAATGGACAAGGATTGTGCGACATTGTGAAATTAGACTTGTACACCGTTGGAAGTGTGCTCAGTAGTCGATAGATTATGTGTTCGTGAGCGAGACCGAGGACTGTGAGTTCAGTTTTTAATTGAAATGGTAGGACGAAATGACTATCCAGTGCTTTCAGGATTTTAATGTTTGTCTAAATTAGATCACTACATGATTTTAATGAGATTATAATGTACTTGGATAACTAATCAAAAATCATAATTACAGAAGCTGAATTTAGAATACTTTAAAAAAGACGTACGTTTAAATTTTGAGATAAAATAAGGGAAACAACTACTACTCTTTTAATATCATTTTGACTAGAATAAAAATACTAGTTTAGTACTTGTAATAACTATATCAAAGTTATACTCAAAGTAATCCTTGTGTTAAACATTGACCTTGTTTGTAGCCCAAACAACACTGTTGTTAAGCAGATGAATACAATTGATCTTACGATACAACATGTTTTATCTTATTCTCATATAAACACTATAATCTCATGCTTGTATTTGTCTACGTAATCTTTTTCAATAAGTTAATCAAAATAAGGTCAACGGCATATTGTGCAAAGCTCAATAGAATTAAAACAGATAAATAATTTAAAAAACCCACTTAAGCTAACCAATTAAATAAATAAATATAATAGTTGAGATCATGAGTTAATTAAAGCTAGACCACCATAGGAAACCTGGAAGCACTGGACGGCCGTCTCGTCCTGTTGTAAGGCTACTCAGCAGTGTGCATCCACGATCCCGCTCTCGTGATTCGAACCCAGGGCCTTCAGCCTCGCGCGCGAACGCTTAACCTCTAGACCACTGAGCCGGTATTAACACACACAACGGCCGTCCAGTGCTTCTAAATTTCCCTGGTGATCTAGCTTCCATTGATTCATGAATTCAACTATTAAATTACTATAATATATTCACAAAACCCATCTCTGATTAAAACAAATAAATGTCCAAAAAAAAAACAAACAGAAATACAATTTTCAATATAATTTACCAATTCATTGTCATTATTATTTTGAGGAAATGATTTTGCATTCAATTGATCATAATTATTTCTATCATCAGAATTACAATCATTATTATTATTATTATCAATGGATGAATTGATTATATTTGTATTATTGTTTCTAGGTATAAATCTATGTAATGCTAATTTAGATGATATCAATGGTGTAGATGAAGATTTCCTAATAGATTTATTCATATTCTTCATTTTATTATTGTAATATGGATCCGAATTGATTATTCCATGAGGTTTTGAAATGGTACCAGTAAATCCATTACTATTTATATCATTGACATCAGAAAATGTAGTATTAATTGTATTATTATTAGTAGTAGTATTAGTATTGGTATCAGTATTTATATTATTATCCAACATCAAGGATGAACTTAATATTTTCTCATCCAATTTATTATTTTTCGATGTACACAATAAATGTTGTTCATTCGAGTTGGATTTTAACAAAGTGATAAATTCAGGTAAAATAAATTCATTATCAGTAATATTACTATTACATTCATTATTACTATTAATAGAAGTAAGATTTGTACAAGAAGTTTCATGAATAGGATAAGAGGAACAATTCATTGAAGCTTTTATTGTTGTATTGAATTGAGATGATGAAATTGATGGAGAATATTGAGATTTAGATGATAATTTTGTATTAGTCTGTGTAGAATTTTGAGATATTCCTGTAGATTTTATTAATTTATGTAAAGGAGCACCTAAAAGTTTTATCTGTTGAAATAAAAAAGGTAAATATTTTATTCAATAAAATGGATTCGATGAGAAACAATAAATTAAGTATTTAGAAACCAACTAAAGAGATAATATTGCAAAGTAGAATGAGTTGGCTTATAGTTTATTTTAACAATAAGACTACTTAATAATAAATATATCATCATGAGGATTGAATTCTCTTAGTATTCCTATTATTACATAGTTTACAACTTTAATTTAAAAAAAAACTCTAAAAAGAAAAAAAGCATTTAAATTCTGTCCTGGGAGTTGAAGAATCTTGATTTAGAAGAGTTATGACGTCTCATGAAGAAAGCCGAGACTTTTCGTAGGCTAGGAGGCCAACGTCCTTTTTAACAACCAGAGCAACAATTTATATAGGTACATGAAATATTTGAATAATGTAGAAGATAGGGAGGACCAGTCGAATACCTGTGAAAATAAGGAGATAAAACTGTGCGGTGCTCAGAATAAATGAAACTCATTAGACACAAGCTGGACAGAAGAGATTAGATTCAGGAGAGAAGCTGTTGTACTCTCGTCATGATAAAGACAATGTCTCGCACATACAACGGTTTGCACTGATGTTGTTCAGAGAAGCACGAAAAGCTTTTATAGGATGGGAATCTCATGAATCTAGGATTATTATAATAGCATCTTTCAAAGCAAAGAACTAGGAGATTAAAGTGAATATTATCCAGTGTTATATACCAAACAATTATAACAGCGAGGACGATAAAGATCAGTTCTATTAGAGGCTGCAATTGATCGTAGAGAAGTACTCAGGAAAGGACCTAACAACCCTGATGGGACAGCCAAGGTCGGAATGGAAAACACTGGGTATCGCGATATCATGGGACATCATAGACTGTGAGAAAGGAATGAAAGCGATGAGAGATTAGTAAATTCATATGCATTTATATGGTTATAGGTAGCACAATATTCCCCCAAAACGCATACACAAAGTTACGTGGGTCTGGCCGGATCAGACTACAAAGAACCAGATCGATCATATCTGCATCACTAAAAATTTCACAAGGTCAGGAGAGGGACTGACTTAGCTTCAAATCACCATCTAATGGGTGCCAAGATGAAGCTAAGGCTAGAGAAACACTAGATGACTGGAGAGACAGTATTACTGAGGTTCAATATAGCCTTTCTTCGAGATTATGACAAACTCGACGAATTTAAGATAGCTCTCAACAACAGGTTCTAAAACTTACAAGATCTTCTCGAAAAAGAATAAACTGCTATGGATAACAGTTGGGAAATGATCAAAAAAGCACTAACTTTGACGTTCCGGAATGTGCTGGGCCTCAAAAAGCACCGTCATAGAGGATGGACCTCTATTGATATCCTGCTATAAGAATCAAGTGGGGAAGAACAAGAACACAGTAATTAACAACAGTTGAACAAGAGCAGAGAAAGTCAAGGCACAGTTCGAAGACAAAATCAAAAACGAAGGTGAAGAGGGGGAATTAGAGACAGAAAGAGGAATTACGTGGAAGACCCAAAAGGGACAGCAGAAGCTGCAAGAAAATGAAATATGAAACAACTACATGATAAGACGAAAATCCCAGCAGAGAAACATAGTGAACCAGAGAGACCAGTCAAGAACAGAGAGGGAAAGTAAGTCACTGCTATTGAAGAACAGTACAATAGGTGGATAAAGCACTTTGGAGAACTGTTGAGTAGACCAGCCCAACTGAACTCGCCAGACATCGAAGCAGCAGCTGCAGACCTTCATTTAGTTGTCGCCCCACGGGCCATCCGAAAAGGTCAGCATGGTAAACAGACAAATCAAGAGTGCGAAGCATCATCAATAAACAATCGAGATTTGATGCAAATGTGAAGTTACAGATTGGTAAAGCATCTGCAGCATTTATTGCGTCGAAGAATACATGGGGCACAAAACAACTGTCACTCAACATCAAAGTCAGAATCTTCAATACAAACGTCAAAACAGTTCTGCTGAACGGAGCTAAAACGTGTTGAACTACCACAACCGTCATTAAAACGGTACAAACATTTATAAACGATTGTCTACACAAGATAATCGATATCTTTTGTTGGATACCATCAGCAACAACCCACTACGGCAGCGAGCGAACCAACTTCCAGGCGGAAAAAAAATTAGGAAAAGATGCTGTTGGTGGACAGGATACACAATTAAAAAAATCATCAAACCCCATCACACTGCACGCCCTAACTTGGAATCCGGAAGAAAAAGAAAAACAAGAAGATAAAAGAATATATCATGTTGGGAATCGGAGGGGGACATCGCGGGAATAAATAACAATTGGAAATAATTGGAAAGGAGTGCCCAGGACGCAGTTGGTTGGAGAATCCTGGTTGGTGGCTTATGCTTCACTGAGAGTAACAGGCATAAACAAGTAGGGAAGAAACGGACCTCAGTTAAATCGCTAATGAGAATCGAGGATCCCTGAACAGCTGTAACGTTTTAGTATGAGACTTTTCGTCAGTACTCAACCACAACTTCACCGGGGATCGTACCCAGAACTGTTAGTTCAATAATTTGTGACAAATTGTCATCTGGAAATTCAAAGACCAGTTAGTGAACTTCATAGATTGGTGATGGGTTAAATTGCATTTTGAGATGGTGGAGAATATTTGTAGCTCAGGTAGATGATTTTGATGGGGTTTTGTTCTCTGAAGTTTGTGCTTATGATGTCGCTCAGAAGAACGATGAAAGCTCCACGACCAAACCGAACTATGCTTCACTATGCAAAGTTAACATATTTTAGCTTATTAACTAAATAGTTGATCCATAGAACATTGCAGAAAGTCCACTTTGAGTGAATTACAAATAGAAAGCCACCAACATTTTTACTCGTGATAAGACAGTGTGTTCTACCTGGAAAAAAAGTTTACATGGACTATTGGAGGATTTATAGATGTCATCAGAAGCAAGGTTATGTTTATCGAGTGCTTCTTCAAAATTAGTATTTTGTAGACTATCTAACGAGCAAACACCCTAATAACGTTGGTACAATGTGAAAAATATCAAAGAACTACCTTTGATTAGTGAGGGACTAATTTGTAGCCATAAAGGCGAATTGTCGTTTAGTAACTGCTTTGATTTCTATCGTAATAAATTCCTTGGTACCTTCAATAAATTTATTAATCATGTTAAAATCATATCCATTGTAATTTTTTGTTTCTTATAACACAATTCGTTCACAGAGTCTACATTCTGATTAAGTAATGAGTAGTTAGACATTCCTAGGATCACAGTTAGGATGTCTAAAGGTCGTCAGCATGAATTCGTTTAGCAACTTCTTCAATGAAGATGTTACGGTAAGTTATTCTTTGTTTTCAGCCAAAGATACTTTTAATTCCTACCTAAAATAATCACAGAATCTGAATTTTATAGTGTACTTTACTATAACATTAAATTCACATATAACATAACCGTATAAAATCTACATAATAATATGATGTAAACTAATAAGAGAAAACAAAACAGGAAATTAAATTAGTAAACAAAACTTACCCATGACCAACCAATAGCTTTAGCTAAAGCAGGTGTTACATAAGCAATTCTCATTTCTTTTGCATCAATCAACATACCATACACTGATTGACTATTTAAACTTAAATAAAGTTTTGCTTGTAATCTAAGATCTAAATTGTTTTCAGTAATTGAACAAATGAACAAAAATAATAAGAAGAAGAAGAATTCATTTAGTAGACTAATGTATTGATAAATCTATGTACATAAATAATAAATTTCTTGACAGGGATTTAAACTATTCAAATTCGTAGTGCAATGTAGTTTGAAGTAGCAGTACTTACTTATTTACGTCTGTTACTCCTCGTGAAGGAGCATAGGTTGCAGTACGTTGTTCTAATTGCTCTACAAGTTCATGAAACTATCGTTGATTGATTATTACTATATTGAGGAACCTATACTTCCTAGTTCGGATCTATGAAGTTATATAAATGAATATTTGTAGGATCAATATGAAATGAATTTCAATAAACTCCACAACCACATACTGGTAATAATTATTTGTTCACTAATAAATCACTTCGAGAAAAAATTTTCGGAATTCTAATGAGAAACCTTGATCAGTGAAGTCCATTTGTTTCGGGTATGAGAAAGGTACCCTCCGAAAACAATAGAAAACAGTTGTGCAGTATCGTGGATTGATCTAAGTTAGACTAGTACACTATTGGATCTCGGTTTAGTAATCTAGAGGTTGCGTTCGTTCATGAGAACGAAGGCCCTGACTTCAATTCTCTGTTGAGGTTTAATGGGTGCCTACTTCTGAGTCCCATGAAAGGAAGAAACGATCGTCTGGTGCTTTCAGATTTTCAGTTGTTGACTAACTTAGATTGGTTAGTGATTTCGATAAAGTTATTTAATCTTTAGAAAATCTACTATGCTACACGTATTGCACTGCGTTTTTACCACGGCGAAATAGATTTATTTCATTAAATTATGCTTCAAAATAACATATTTTGTATACAGAAACAGTGATAGGAAGTTAACTTTCACCGCTTTCATTCTTAAATTTATACAATTCAAATTAAACTCCATGTTTCATACACATAGTTCCTTTTATCATCTTGAAGAAAACAAGATCAAAGATTCTGGCTATACTATACTGATGTGTCATTAAATTAACTTCCAACTAAACTCTTTCATGTAAGTGATTTAAACCTATTTTATAATAATTTCAAATATCATAGGTCGTAAGCAGCTGATGAAAATCAAACAAAATAAAATGAATCTATGCTATTCTGCTAGAATCTTTCAACTCTGTTTTGATTGCCATCTACGTGTTTTTTTTTCTAGCCTTATCATATATGATAATCAGTGTATTAGTTTCAAAACAACTTGACAGTTCTGTGTTGTAGATATAATATAAACGTATCATTAGTTTGACATTGAAATATGTCTTCAAGGTTCTAATAAACAACATTATAATTTTATCAAAATGGGGGTTTGTGAATATTGCAGTGGATTGGTTGAAGTTAGAAATTAACACGGTTGAATGTTGGCTCAGTGGTTTACAGGTTAAGTGTTCGCTCGCGAGATCTAAGGTTCTGGGTTCGAATCCAACGTGCGGGATCATAAATACACAGCTGAGGAGCCCCATACTAGGACGAAACGACCGTTCAGTGCTCCCAGGTTTTTCATGGTTGTCTAGCTTTAATAAACTCATGAATTCAACTATTAAAAATTTATAACTTTATGTTTTAACTCGATATCACTTCTGTATATTTGAACATCAGTCATAAATGGAAAGACGATTACAGATTATACAGCTGGAAAATAATTGAGCAAGTACTTTTATAGTTACACGCTTATCCTTTAACAGAAATCAATACTTATATAGACCACTTGTATTCTACTAACTATAACTATTATAACTTACAGGAAGACAATTTGTTAAGAAGAAATAGTGTATGTCCAGCAATACGAAGTACTCTAGTCTTTTCTAAATTAATAGCTGAAGGTATATTAGAAAGTGTAGACGATGATATTTCTGTGGTTGTCGCTGTTGATGTTGTTGTTAAAAATCCTGTCATTGTATTTGACACTGATGAGTTAAAATAGGTAGTTTTCTTTTGTCCACGTCCTATTGTACCTGAAGTAATTATATTATTATTTTCTGATGATTGATTTATTTGTTTTGTTCCATTAATTAAATTAGATGATTTTGAATTCTGTTGAACTAAATTTAATCCTAAAACATGAGATGATATTGGTAGAGCATTTTGTATTAGCATTAAACTTTGACCTTCTCGATTACGTCTAATTTGTGCAGCTAAACGAGATCGTTCTTTTCTTAGATTAACACGTTTCTCACTCAATTCATCATTTATTGATTTTGTTTGTTCTAAAGATGAAGAGAATAGCAAACAAGGTGATAATGTCACAGAATTAGACACTTTACTTCGATGTTTACGTTCTCTTTTTTTTCTCATAATATCTGTGAAGTATAAAGAATATAATAATAGAAATTAATAAGAAACATGTTTCTAGTGTGATAACCTTTTAAAATATTCTTATTTCAATATGTTATAGTCAAATGTAAACATATGTCTTTAAACTTCTCTTTAAATTAATTTAAATAATTTACACTTTCTAATATTTAATTTGGCATAAACTATTGAGAACAGAAATTCACACTTGTAAAAACAAAATGAGTTTTAATGTTTGGTATGTTGTCCTAATTATCAAGCAACAATGAAATAAGTCTTAAAGTTCAATTCATATTCGATTGGTTGATTAGTGACTTAAAATGATCTAAGTCTTGTAAATGCATGAATGTTTTCAATGATAATGTGATATATTAAACATTCTCTATGTTGTATGTTAATCTGTTAAAAGAAATAAACTTTTGATGGAGTTTTGTTCTCTGAGCTCAGAGAATAACTGACCAATTTCAATTCATATCTATCTTTATTACCATTAATCTATTTTCAATTATTTCATTACATAATAATCTAATGTGTTTTTAATTCCATGAGTTCTAATCACTATTTCAGTGTGTTGGAACCTTCCCTCCCAAACTGTATATATTCGAAACAAAAATTTTATGATCTCATTAACTCGAACGGAATCTTTGCTACATCACGATACACATACATTCATTCTTCATCACCCTCTGATGTATAAGTATGCAAATATTTGTAATAACGTTGAGTTTCAAATATTTTAGGTTGTAAGCAGCTGATGAGAACTTAACGAAATGAAATGAATTCATATTATTCTGCACCAACCTTTGTTCTTGCTCACTTAGTATTGTTTACTTGTATCTTCTCATTGTTATTTAAGACTGCAATTGATCAGTCTCTTATTGGCATATGTGCATCCTGTGCGGACTGCCTCGATATAGCCTTAAGTCACAAGCTTTCGAAGCAAAGATCGCTAGTGGGTAGCAGTGGAATCCAGGACAAGCGTTTCGTCCTATTTGGGACTCGTTAGCTGGATGTACCTGCATCTCAGAGTCGTTGACGAGTCTCAAATAGGACGAAACGCTTGTCCTGGATCCCATTGCTAGCCATTAGCCATCTTTGCTTATAAAACTCTGAGATTAGTTGTTAAAAAAAGAAGTCTATTCACAAAATACAGTTTACTTTCTGTACAGTCATTTTACAAGTGACTACTACAAATAGAGAGAGCAATGATCAGATCAAGAATTTCATACTTGAATTCTAAACAAAAGTATATTTTCGAGGATCAGATGTACACTTGATTTTGTGATTTCTTTATTTCTGGAATTAGTATATCTAATTTAGATGGAAATATAACTACTGTGGGATGTACTTTAGGAGGGGAAAATTACTTAAACTAATTTCGACAATGCATGAACTTGCTTTGGAGTTCATAATAATCTCAAACGTCTCACACAGTTGTTCTGATCAAGCAAACTTTCAAGGTTGCGGAGATCCTATCTTTAATGGACAGAAGTCCTATTTCTACCTGAGAACCCCAGTAATAAAACATTCATAAAAACAAAGTCAATTTATAGAGCTGAATTTAAAACTGATATGTGGTTGCTGTGTGGTTAATTGTATTTTCCGAAAGCATGTCCACTTTCTATTATTAAATGTTTCTAATGTTGTTAGATTCGTCATATTGAGTTTATTTGTCATGCTACTGTTTATATTACTGCATATGGTAATAAATGTAGTCATTTATACTTAATTAATAATGTTTACACTGATGGTCAATGATATGGCGAGTAACAGCTTTATCAAATGGCATGTTAACAACCCATAAAATTGTTCGTTTTTTTCACATATTAAGTTTTATAGATGCTGAATCGTATAATATTGTAAACATGCATTCATACAGTAACTTGTTGAATTATTATTATTGGTATTAAATGGAACTAAGTTCAGTTTACAGAAATCTGACTGTTAATCTAACTGTAAATAAATTATATAAAAGTGACGTATTCATAAATCAATTTGGTTTATTTAAGATTTATCAGTCAACAAACATTTTACTTACATACAACCTTAAAAAAAGCATTTTACATCTGTGAAAACTATGTACATCCATGTACATTCATGATTTCACTGTTGGTAACAGTAGAACTGAATCTATCTTATAAATATTGATACTAAAATTGGTTTGTTGTGACTATTTTTAGTTACTTTCTAAGTAACGATCAATATGGCTACTAATTTTGAAGTGTCAAATCGTTGTTACACATAGTCCTCATAAAATAACCTATGGTCATAGATTTATTACTTCACTACATCGTCTATTTGAGAAAAATGATACAGTAAATTTGATTAGGTAGCAAATCTGAGCGTTTGGACTTGAATGTCTAACTTCAACCAATCCACGAAATTGCACCACTGTACACTATTGTCTTCAGTGAGCTGATATCTCACAACAGAACTGGTTTTCCATGGTGGTCTAGCTTCAATTGACTGTTAAAATGACTAAATTCTCCACAAAACTTCTGATATATTATTTTGTTAATTTACAAGCCTATGAACTTTAAATACGACAAAATTGACAACTAGAAATTATATCATCCAATAGTTGCTGAACACATTTTCCGATATCCTTGATCAAATAAATTTTAAAATTAATCATTGTTTATTTCACTTCTATAAAAATGATTTTCATGGTGATTTCTCCATTGTATATGAATTCGGACATGTACTTAACTATAGATTGTAATATTTTAGATTAAATATGAGACAAAATATTTAAAAAACATAGATTAACTTATAAGCAAAGATGGATAGTGGCTAGCAGTGGAATCCAGGACGCGTATTTCACCCTATTTTGGCACTCGTCAGCTGGATGTACCTGCATCTCAGAGTTGATGTTCACTCTGGGACTCGAACCCAGTACCGTTCGCTTCACACGCCATCACGTTCTCCACTTATCAACTGAATCCATTTGCTCGTGCAATGGGGTGAAGTTTAAATTCAGGACGAGTCTCAAATGGGATGAAACGCTCATCCTAGATTCCACTATTAGCCACTATTCATCTTTACATATAACACAACTAATCAATATATTGATTACATAAATAAAAATAAATAAATTCTCTTACTTGTCTTAGATGTATTCTGTACAGATTGTAATTTCATTATAAGAACTTGGTTATATAATTTCTTTTCAAATTATGATCAATTTTGTTAACATGATGATTTATTAAATTATTTCAATGATATTATTCATGAAATGATCAATTCTCGTATGGAACATTAAAAAAATAAAATAAATTTTAAGAAAAATAATAAAATTTGAGTAAAGACTTTTTTCTTTTCCTCCCTCCTCCCTCTCTCTCTCTCTCTCTCTCTCTCTCTCAGAAAAAGAAACTTTTTTTCAACGATCAATAAGATTGAATTGAAATGATTAATTTACAAATTAGAAATTATTTACAAATTTCATTGAATAATATTCATTTGAATCTGTTGGGATATACTTCCGACTAGAAAGAACAACAAAAAAAAAAACAGAAAAAAAAACATTTTTAATACAGAAATAAGAGAATGGTATAAAATGGATGCAAGTTTATTATATACATTTTTGAATAATGTAACACAGATTTAGCTATAAACAACAGATACAAATCATAATAAACAAAGATGGATAGTGACTAGCAGTGGAATCCAGGACGCGCTTTTCATCCTATTTGGGACTCATTATGTGCATGTAACTGCATCTTAGAGTTGATGTTCACTCTGAGACTCGAACCTAAAAACGCGCATCCTTGATTCCACTGCTAGCCAGTAGCCATCTTTGATTAAAAACCTTGTGACTTAAAGTTATATCGAAGCAATCCGCACAGGATGCACATATGCCAATAAGAGACTGATCAATTGCAGTCTTAAATAACAATGAGAAGATACAAGTAAGACAACATCATGTGAATTTAGGTTATAACAAAGTTTTCTTTTCACAAGTTAGTAATTTATTAGTTGAATTCATGAATCAATTGAAGCTAGATGACCATGAAAAACCTGGAAAAACTGGTTGGTCATTTCATGCTAGTATGGGATACTTCAGCAATGAGTATCCATGATCCCATCCCGTGAGATTCGAACCCAGGACCTATCGCTCTTCACATCAGTTTAAGAATAGTGATAAAAAATGTTTTGTACTTCTTTAGATTAATCTTTTGAAGCATTAAAATTTGATCTAATATAATGAAGTTACATTTAAATATATTTCTCTTTTTTTTAAGTACAGTTAAGCTTTGATAACCATACAGTTACTCTACAATGAGAATAATTCAAGTGAAACTTAGTAATACATTTTATTGTGGATATGAGTTTAATTACTATGTGTAGCTAGATACATGTCATATTTAAAGGTTCTTATTCTTATAAGCTGATGAAAATGTACTTGCATTGTCGGGGAAAAAAAGTGATCAAATCTATTAACAACTCCTTTTTGCTAATGATATATAGTGAATATCACAGCAAGAAAAAAGATATACTGGTTCTGAATGACCTTTCCACAAGGTCCACAATTACGTTCCACTCACATCAACTGGAAGAAAATTGATATATTTACTTTCCTATGACTATTAATGCATTAGTCGTTTTTAATCAAATATGTTAGCAACCGAAACATCTATCATCCCCCAATTCTTATAAAGTGTTCTCAAATACGCATTAAACTTGCCTAATTTACAATAACTTCGACATATGGTTCAGTCTGTTTTTAAATAAATAAATTCATATGATTTCATGCTATTGATCTTAGCTCATTTTACTAAACAGATTTTTCTCCATACATAACTAGTATTATCCGATAATTATGTCATCTTTTAGCTTTATTGTTCACACTATGTACAAGCATTTAAATCTAGATTGACATGAAATTTACTGTTATCACTGTAAAGCATTTATACGACTGAAATCTAATTTGAAAATACTCGTGAAATTTTTTTTGTTTTGGGAGAATCGAACCAGTCAACCATCTCTCAAACTCTAGCTAGCATCTTGATTAACCCGACTACGAAAAATGGACTACTATCTTCAGAAACCTCCAAAGCTAACCCATAAGAACAAGCTGTCGTTACTCAGTTTCATTCTATTGTGGCTTTCACAACTTTGCTAAGGTCTGATACTGATCTAATATTCAGGTCGTAGACAAGTTGTGGGTAACTGACGAGTATATAAACGCCAGTTGAAATGTCTCATGAAGTACTCTTCCTACTATTCCAGTCACCCAGTCCGAAAGTATGTAAAGGCTCTCTCCTTTCAAGAGATGATTTCACTAACACCTGACTTTTTTGCGACCTCTTTATACAGTAATACTAGTCGTATTGGCGCTGGTGTCTTTTTAGCTACCTTTGATTTCGTAAACGCCACTGCTGATGAACACTTGATGAGCTTTTCTTTAGTCCATATTTATGTTTCGCTAGTTTATATAATGTTCCGAGTCCTCCGCAATGAGCTGCTAAGCATGTATCAACTTAGTAGAAGATTCTGAGATCCACTGGCTTTGCTATAACTTTCTGTTTGGTCAGCTAACAGATGTCAATGTTGTTTTTACAATAGACAGTGAACCACGATATCCTATCTAAAGATGAATGTTTCCTCCATGATGGACTGAATGCTGAACTAATTCTATCGTAAACATAACATTTGCTTTTAAATTTCTGAATAAGGCTTGAAGATATCTTCATGTTAGATTTTTTCTGAGTCCAACACGAAACAGACAAATATGTGGTCGGAATGTAAACATGGATTCCAGAATTAGTTCTCAAACTTGTTGCTGTTCCTACGGTGGTAAGACCACAGCAAGCTGTTTTTCAGTCTCCAAGTACACCAAGGGCTCCTAGTGCTTGTTCTTTAACCCAGTTTGGCGAGTTCAAGTAGATAAGCACGCTCAAGTTCTAGATATCAGAAGTATAAAAGACAACCATCTTAAATAGTTAATCTTAATGTCCGATTCGAAACGGAGTTTGGATATTAGTAGGTTTAAAATATAGTTTTAAGTTCAGTTTAAAGAGATCAGGTATAACATTTCATAATATGGGATCGCTAGCATTGGTCATTAGCAAAAGATAAAAACAAACCAGAAAATTAGCATCAATGATGGGAATATAAAAACTATTAGAAAGCAAGCAGTGGGTTTCAGTTTATACACTAATCGAAAGTATTTAGGAGTGGTACACACTTTTTAGTACCCTACGACGTGAAAGGAAATTTCTCCACGAAGCACCTGAAAACAAAAATGGTTTGGCAGTGGTGATCTAGTAAACCTTTGTGTTTCAACGCAAAGATCACAAAACAACTACTTATGGCTGATTACTTTACACCAGGTCTATACTTTCCAAACCTTACGACTGCGGCGAATAAACTTTATAGAAAACCGGATTTGTTATTTCAGGATGGACATTTTCAATATCCTTCTTTAATGGCATGAAGAAAGTACCACTGAAGGTGATGACTATTCATGTGAAAAATTTCACTCCCTTAGCATCCATGTACGGTTGAGAGTGCAGCTTTCCCCTGGAATTTTGATTTGCTGATTATTATCTTATCACTATCCAGCCAACCTGTTTGATATGGTAAGATCTCAAGAAACGAATGTTTCATCTAATAAAGCTCTACTGAGTGGTCAATGATAGCAAGGTTAGACCACCTTATGAAAGTATCAACCACGGTCGCCATCATAAATATTAATCAAATTATTATGGTTTACCTCGGTAAATTAACAGATAACAGCCTCAATCGGTTAATAAACTCATACTGCTCCACAACTCAACAATTAGTAAACCTCTAATATTGATAAAAGAATAATATATGGCACTAACACAAAATCTAGGTTCAGGGTTTCCTGTCAACTACCTCACATAACATCAAACCAATTATAGCTGACGTCGGCTTTTTTTCAAAATTAATGCTTATCAAAAATATTGTAATCCATAAACATCTGGTCATTATTTACCATAGTCAAAATGATATGGAGCAAAACTGAAAAGAATATCAATATAATTTGTAGGGTAAAATTTTTATTTGACAGAAAGTAGTAATTTCAGTTTTCATAGTGAAATATTACATACAGGAAAGAAATAAACTACTATGAAGTCTTCAATTTGGAAATCATTTAAATCAATACTTAACTAATTCTAACAAATAAAAGTGTCTTTTGATTGCCATTTGATCCTTAAGCTACTTGTGATTTTCCAATGGAATCCTACTTCTCAGTACCTCTTATTATTATCAGCAGATTAGTCAGCTACAACGTAGGATCAGGCACATATGTGCATCGGTCCAAGTTACCACACTTCATTAGCACAACAAGATAAACACCAAATTCATAGAAGTAGGCCTCCAAATGCCCTGGTATGGCCGAGAGTGGGAAGAGTCCGCTCTCCCTTTCGAAACGCTCTCACATGGCCACGAGTATACAGCCGCTGACAGGGAAGTCCTACTCACTGGCTTCTCGTGGCAGGGGTGTTCTTTACGAAAATGAGAGGACGGAAAGCGAATGCCCGGCGCTTTAACCGGTTCGCAAACCAATGGTGCACATGGGCTCCAGTATCCTGCGGGAACAAATGGCGTATGAACCGATTTCTTGGTGACCGGCTACCATGGGACTACATCTCCTCACGATGCTCCACTACCTTGTGGGTCAGACCTTTAGGTCAAAGACTCGGGGTGTAGCGCCTAAGAAAACCACCTGCTTCGGTCTGGGCATCCGGGCAGTATCACAGCCCACACACAAATAAAATGAAATTTTGTGTGGCGCATATGTATTTGGTGCCCCAATGTACCAATATTTATGTGTTCAAATAAATAAAAATCATAGAAGTAGTTAATTTAATGGTGGTGATATATAAAAGATTGCATATAAGCGTATAATACAGGAAGAAAGAATTAGTTGGTAGAAAGAAAGATATAAAGCAAACAGCAGATAATAGTTAAGGAAGATACATAACATTTAAAAGAATTGTATTAATATCAAGAAATACCACTTGAAATTGATATTTGTGATCTTCATGACATAGTTTTGTGACTAAAAGTTACTCGTAATAATACCCTATAAAAGTAACTTGGTAAAGATTATCAAATGTAAGTGTTACTATTCATTTTCAGTATATCCCAAAAAAACTGTAAATACCAAAACTGAAACTTGAAATATTAAACATTTTTTCTCTTTGTCAAGATTAACTTCCAGTGGAAACTTATAAATAAATTTTAAATTTTTTTAACTATATAGTCACTTTAATTCTAAAAATCTCTTACCGAAATACGGTAGCAGAGTACCTAGAATATTTACCAAGACTAATCATTGTTCTAAACTGTAAACCTGATATAGAATAAAGAATAGGCTAACACGACACATGGCCTTTTGATATGTCAAGTTATGAGTTATAAAAGCCAAAAGGATCAGATATTATTTTTTCATTAAAACAAACAAATGTAATTATAAATATATCTTTTCCTTTAAGTATACAGTGTTTGATAAACCATACAAACAAATATACTACTTTTTAGCCTTAGTAATAATTATCCCAAACTATTTAAGAAGTGCTTCCAAGTTAGTGATAAGTGTCAAAGTAAAAGGGAGTCTGAATTTCATAAATGAAACTAAACGAACCATAAAGGTTACCGTTAATAGCGATTTTTTATAAAGATCTGTTGTTTAAGAATCTAAACTAAATAAATCAACAGCTGGTTACCATTATCCAAGCTCATATTCAAAACATTTGACCTTTCAGTATCCTCTTCAAAATGATCCAAGTCCATATCATAAATAATGATTATCTAGATTAAAAAACTATCACTACACTTAAAAACTAAATTGGTTTTACCAACTCCTGCAAGTATTATTTATAATAGTATGGGAAATGATTGTTAGTTTATATATCCAAAAATTATCCTCATGTGATAATAAAGAATAGATACAAAAATATCTAATAAATTTCCATAATAGCTAGCAATGAAATCCAAGATCCACATTTCGTCCTCTGTGGAACTCATCAGTTTTGTTTACCTACATCTCAACGTTAATGTTCACAATCAGATTTGAACCAAGTATCTGTCACTTCAAACACCAAGGCATTATCTAAAAAGCTACTGATTGAATCTAGTCACAAGCTCGTGTAAGGGATAAGAATTTTTTCTGCAAGAGTTTATATCTTGATCCTGAAGCTCATCTTGAAGGCACTGGGTTAAAGATTCAGTGTGAACGTAAACACTAAGATGCAGGTATATGAAGCTTGCGAGTTCCAAATAGAACAAAATGAGAGCCCTGAAATGCACTGTTCTACTGTACTGAAAACTTGTAACTAAGTGGCAATATTGAGGTACTCAGTTCAGATGCACAGATACTAGCAGGGGTCGACCAATCTCAGTCCTTTATATCAATAAAGGGAAATTATACACACTTGCAAATAAAACGAAAATATCCTTGAAAATAAATAATCTGAATACTTAAAAGTGTTGTCACAGTATCACGGAATTAAAATTTTATAATCTGTCGAATCTAATCATATAAGTATTAGAAGAAAACGTGGTATGCTCCATGCGTTCTGTAAAGGGAAATGAATATACATAACTAATCGATCACTTGGTAGTGACCGATGTCATGTATGTCAGGTCATTATTTGTGCAGATAGAATTCTATCGGTCAGTTTGCATTGTGGTCACTAGTCTAGGTGACTCAATATCGCAAGCAGTATGTTGAGAAACAAAGTGGTGGTTGGAGGTACCTCACAGGATACCCTGAACCTAGGTTTCGTATTGTTTGAAACTCGTCAGCAAGGTGTACCTATGATCCTGAGGTACCTAAGTTCCATACAGCTAAAGACCTAGGTTCAAGGTTTCGTGTAAACTATCTCTGATCCCCATCTTACAATATATATATACTTATAATAGATTTTTCAGGACTAAATAGGCTAAAAGTTAAGACCTCGTATTTTTTTTATAAACTTTAACTTTTTTTCCTCAGGCTAAATGGGTTTATATTTGTTCATCTATTTTTCAAACAAACTATTAAAATAATGAGTATTAGAATAAATCCATTTATAAATACGAGGTCAAAATCTGCTTATTTCATTACCATGTGGATCAGCACTTGTAATGTTGAAAAATTTGGAAACCAAAATCTTAGTTCAACCAAACAGATTTTCCTCACACGGCCAAGCATTTTTATTTATCGCGAGTTTGGATATTCAATGTTCATTGAACAGAAACAATTGTTATTCTATTTGTATATTATTATATATGGAAGGAATTATTTTTCTTCATTGACCTCTTTCTAGTTTAAATAATCCTGAAGAAGAATAAAGAGAGAAGTTGACGGTGACACAAATGAAGATTCTCTATTGAGATAACAAAAAAAAAAAATACAAGCCAAGTAAACAAAGTGACCTAATTATAGAACGTTGTATAGATGGTTCAACTCAAAATTTTATATCATGGACTGGTTTTATCTAAATAACTTTTGAAATCCGAGAGCGATGGGCAACTGAGTGAACCCAATAGTGAGCTGTATCTTCCATTCACAAATATTTATATAGAATCAGTGATTCAATGATCCAATCATCATAAGGTAACTAAATGGGTTTTCATGTTATAATGTCAAACGTTCGTCAGTAAAACTTGATTTTAGTCTTTTTAATAGCTATGTCAAACAACATTCGTGTCTTGAATTATCCTAAAAATTGCTTAGGTAAAGTCATATTCATTTTATTTAAAAAAACATTAAGCATCATTCACCAAACTTAAAAGATTATTCGAACAAAATTTCCTCTTTTCGTTTGACCAACTTCATGCCCCGATATTCTTTTATTTTTAATTATTTCCGGTATTATTCTGCCTGATGTTTTTAGTATTTTTGCATTTAATTAATGAGATAGAACATTTCAATTAACTTCGACGGTCAAATTATAAGGGATTAATAATTCAGTGGTTTGAGACCTCTTCATCATTTGCAAGCATCGTATAAAATCTAAGTAAAATTTTATTCCTGTTACATCATTCTAATCACCTGTCTAAGAGTAGTCTTCGAATTAGTGCAGCTTTTCCAAGTGTCATGTCCTCTAACCTCGAAAGTTTATTCGTTAACCTTTAATTATTCTTCTAGACAACAATCCTCAGGACATTACCTTAGAAGGAAATGAGTTATCAGGGTTCATCCACACTTAACTAAACGCCTTCTTTTATTGACATGAAATTCGAATGGTTATTGCTCATTATTCTACGTTCGTTCCTTATATCTTTGTTTTAATTCTCTTCCTCTCTAACCTGACCTTTGACCTTTTATTTGTTTGTTATTTTTTTTATTAGCTGACTGTAGGGTCATTTTGGATGTGTTTATTAGTTAATAAGTGACCTGACCTTCACATTCTAAAAATTCCTTAGTTTTATTTGTTTCCTCTGTCCAATATTTAGACATTTTCTTGGTTGAATTCCTATCCAATATTGTTTATATTTATTGATAAATGCGAAAATATGTCACAATGTTTAAATAGCTAGTTGGTGTGCATGTAAACTCATATACAAAAACCAGTCACGAATGTTATATGTAATCTTTATCACAGTTATTTCATTTTATCTCGCAAGTAATATTTGGTTTTTTTCATTTTTGTCGTTGTATCCTTTAATTTTCCAGGCAAATTTTATTGTGGTTAATCTTAATCGAACCATTCAGTTCAAAGAATATGACACCTACAAAACTTTCACATAAGCTACAAAACATTTCTATCTTATCGAAATCTTACCATTTCTGTATACCAAAACATCTAATAGTGATAGTTAGATTGAAATTTGATCATTTATAGAATAAAATATTTAAGGTCCAGCATAATTCATAAAACATTTTCACTGATGTCAGTAACTCAATTAAGTTATTAGGTATCATTTTTAATGTGGTATCCAAATCACACACAACACAAAAGCGGTTGACATTCACAATAACAAGTTGGAAAAAATTGGATTATTCAAAACTGACTGAGTATCTCATTTATTTTATAATCCTCTAATAAATACTACTGAAAACATTTAAAGACTGTAAATTATTTAAGATATGGAGTCAATGAATAATTCAAGATTATAAATGGGAATAATAAAAATCAATATGATCCGTAGATCATCAGTGAATGTAATTGAATATAATCTTGAAATATCCCTTATCTAATTATTACAGTATCCTTAGTATGTGTTAACTTTTTTATACTTTAAGTGAATCAATATCCTGAAGAAAAAAACCAACTTTTATTCAATGAATAATAAATATATTTTCTTTTGTTTTATCTCAATGGGTAGAAAAATTTGTATTTCTGACGTTTCGTGAAGTAATCTAAATCGCTTTGGAGAAATGAATTAGATTGAGTCGCGAAACGTCGAGAAACTATTGGGATATAACAAAACGATATATTTCTTATAAACCTTTTACCCAATGCTCAATTTATTTGAAGCGATCAACCTGAATATTGGTATTGATACCTATTTTATTAAATGAATTTAAAAAGGCAGAGATTTCAAATAACTTAGAATAAAACAAATTAATTTAGTATGAAATAGTAAAATCTAAATATTTATTCTCAAAGTGTTTCTTTTTTCGCCAGATTCACCAAGAATAAAATTTTTTTGATTGGGATCATGAACCGATTGATGTTAGACCACTGTTGGAAATCTAGAATCACTGGATGGCCGTTTCGTCCCATTGCGGAACTTCTCAGCAGTGCGCATCCACGATCCTGCCCGCGGGATTCGAACCTAGGATCTATCAGTCTCGTGCGCGAGCGCTCAACCGTTAGACCTCTGAGCCGGTCGGCATCCAACAGTGTTGATGTCTAAGTTCAAATATTCCACGAAATTGAACGACACATCCACCATTGTCATTAGTGAGTTACTATCTCACAACAGACCCGGTTGAACTCCATTGTTCACTGCTTCTCGCTAGAACTCCACAAAATACCTATTGAAGCTAGTCACTAGTGAGCAGATGTTAGTTCATATCAGAAGGGTTTTTGTGGATATTATAGTAATTTCAATGGTTTGGATCATGAGTCAATTGAATTTAGACCACCATGGAAAACCTGGATGCACTGGACAGCCGTTTCATCCTATTGTGGGACACCTCAGCAGTGCACACCCACGATCTCGCCTCGTAAGCGCTTAACCTCTAGACCACTGAGCCGGCATCCAACATTGTTAATGTCTAACTTCAACCAATGCGATACAATCACACTGAATTTGTATTTCGTAGTAAGAAGTAGGCGCGATTTAAGAAAAAACATTGTTATCTAACTTATTCTTTTGTAGTTTTTGTCTTATAAGACTTCGACAAGAACAATACTCGTGTCTGATAGTAGGTGATATAGAAAGTAAGTAATATATAGAAAAACTCATTAATGATTATTATTTATTCTTTCTTAAAACTGATTAGACTCTATAGATTATGGTTATGTGTTAATGAAAGGTACTATAAATTGTCTTTGATTTTTTTGAACAGTCTAACACTGAACACTGTTAGACAAGAAATACTTTCTATCTAAAACACTGTATGTATTTAGTATAATGAATTCCATAAAATATTTACAAGGGATTTTATTGGAAATTTATAAACTATAAACTTTTTCTTACATTAAATTTATCAGAACCTAATCACTATCCTATCTAATTCAATATTTTATTGATTATATTATCATTAATTATTCAGAAGGATTATAGTGTTAGATTACATATTATGTCTGAGATGTTCTATTGAGTTCGACAATTAAATACTTAGACCTACAATTCAAAATAGATGAGATAAATCTGGCGACCCGATAGCTAATTCTTGTGGACTGGCATATGTAGGCATAGCACTAAGTATGAGGGTCGAACAAACATTATTAGAATGTAACTCCGTTAACAGTCGCCTATGTACTATTCGACTAAACGGCTCCGTAAGAACTCGGAAAGATAGGAACACATGTCGTTGCCATGGTTTTGTCATTTCTGCCTACATCCCCATTGATAAATATCATTCTAACTTAAAGATTGTAATCTATTTCATACAATCTCATACTTGTGAATTTTTTTTTACATAATTTAGGTCATTTCTTATTCTGTTTATCAGTTTCTAAAATGATATGAAAACTGTTGGATATTTATGCGTGTTCTTTGTGAATGTACATTTTAATTACAAACAAGATTTGTTTTTTAATCATCTGTATGGTTGATTGATTGCTTGATTGAAGAAGAAGAAGAAAGTAGTTAGAAAGTTAGATCAATGCCTACTGTTCAATTTATCTCCGAAACTTTTATTCAGCCATGCAATATTGATTTTTTTTATAGAAAAAAAAAGAAAACACTATTGCTCCCAGTATACGATAACATTTTCAATAAAGTTTTTAACTGGTATTATTAATTATTTCTTTTTCCATATCAGACAAATGACATTTTCAATTTCTATGCATCATTTCCCTGACGAAAGCGGACTTTTACACTTTCATTAAGCAGACTGGTAATAGTTTTCTTAATAATTAACTATTCATTTATATAACTTCTTCTACGTTAGTTAATAATAGATTCTAAAAATAAGTTTTTAGGGTGAAATTGTTAACCTTACTTATTGATGTAAAACATGTGTTAGATTAAACGTTTCTCATTTATTGATTCACTTTCATTTATTTATTTAAATACATAAACATTATTACAAGGAGGCACCAAAAAGATATGCGCCACATAAATCATTTGGTTTATATGAGGGCTGGGATACTACACAGGTGCCCAAACCAAAGCAGGTGGTTTTCTTAGAGTGCCAAACTTGAAGCCGTTGACCTAAAGGTCTGATCCATAAGGAAGTGGAGCATCGTAAGGAGATGTAGTCCCATGGTAGCCGGTGACCAACAATCGGTTCATACGCCATTTGTCCCCTCAGGATCCTGGAGCCCATGAACACCATTAGTTTGGAGTCAGGGTTTTCCTACTCCATTAGGTGGATACTTCGTGTCCACCAACCCAGTTAAAACGCCGGACATTCGCTTTTCGTCCTCTCAATTTCGTAAACAACACCCCCGCCACGAGAAGGTAGTGGGTACGAATTTTCCGGCAGTGGTTTTATGCGCGTGGCCACTTGAGAGCATTTTGAGAGGGAGAGCTGACTCACCTCACTCTCGGCCATACCAGGGCACTTGAGAATATTGGTTCATTCCCCTTCATATTATTTTAGATAGTAACTTAATGAAAATGAGGATTCAGAGTATTTCATATAAATTTTGACTAAAGATTTCTAAAAATCTACACATATCGTTACAGAAAATATCTAAAAACAAATCTGAC